AGTTGCGTCCCAAAACGCTGTAAGAGCTTCAGAGCCCCAGTGAGCTCAACTGGACAAGACTGGGGCAGAGACAAGTGTTCCTCTTTTTCCTCTGGGAGTGCTTCAATGGAATAAACAACTTTTATCCAGCCTGAAAGACTGTCAGAAGTGTCACTGGCCAGGATTCGGAGCCTCTTTTGTCGAATGCGCAGCTACGTCACAACCATCACATGGGACTGGATAAATTTTTCATGCCAGAATTAACCAATTTCAGTGGGCAGTTTTCCTCACCGGCATGCATGCTGCCTCCCTGGGGCACCTCATCTGTCACAGACAAACGGGAGAGGGATTTGTGGAAGTGTTAATGGAGTGGCTTTTCTCAGACTCATCAAACTGTGTGTGCGCATGTTAGGTCAGGAATTTTTGACAGTCTCCTGGGAAGTGTATGGAACTTTCCAGAGGGGAGCACCTTCTGCAGGTATACAGGCAATTGCTTCTTTTGGTGGTGTCATCCCAGATGGTAACTAAGTTTAATCCCGGCTGGTTACTAAGTCCTACACAACTGCTTGCTTATTTCACCCCTGGTGGCAGGGAAATCAGAAAAAATAAAGTGAAACTCGTGGATTGAGATAAGAACAGATTAATAATTGAAACAAAGCAAAATATAATAATAGTAATAATAATAATAATAATGAGAGAGAGAGAGAGAGGAATACAGCAGGAGATAAATAAGTGATGCCCAATACAATTGCTCACCACCTGCTGACCAATGCCCATTCTATCCCCAAGAAGCGATCGGCACCTTCTGGCCAATTCCTTTCAGTTTATATACTGGGCATGATGCTCTATAGTATGAGACATCCCTTTGGCCAGTTTGGGTCAGCTGTCCTGACCATGCTGCCTTCCAGCCATTTGTGCACCTGCTCGCTGGCAGAGCATGGGAAACTGAAAAGTCCTTGGCTGCTTAGCATCAACTAAATCACCAGTGTGTTAAGAATATGATTCTCATACTAAATCCAAAACACAGCACTGTACCAGCTACTAAGAAGAAAATTAACTCTATCCCAGCTGAAACCTGGACAGATTGTTATTTTGGAGCTAGTGATTTAATTGTAGCCGGCATTCCTTTTATTTTGCACAGAGATAGCTCAAGAAATGGCAATATACTGGAAATATACCATTTGTGAGAAGAATGACATAAAACAGGGTTTAAATAAAATATACTATGTACCCTATAAATACTAAAACAAGAAAAACATTTATGTGCGAGAGAGATTATTAACAGTACTCATAATTCAAGCAGTACAACAGCAAAGGAAAGAAAAATGAGGCTTCTAGTTCTCACCTTATGTATATTATATGATATTCCCTCCCAGATTTTATAAACCAAAAATGTATATTAAAAAATAGACCAACTATGCTTCTGATACATGATAAGCATGAAGATGAAATTGCAGTCAAAATAGTTCCAATCAAACTACATGCTTCCTTTATTTATTCTTTTCTCTCTAGCACTACTAATGTCATAAGTTTTCAGCTTGAAACATGGGTAAAAATGAAACACAGTGTCTTTTTCAGATGCTGGAAACCTTACGCTTGGAACGATTTCTGCTCTGGAATGTCTGTAATATATTGAAACCTTAATACCATACTAATTGGTACCTTACTAATTAGCTCGTGACAAGAATTTTAATTAGATGCGCAGTAGGTGTTCTCCTTACCTGCAATGGAGGAGCTATTTCCTGGGGAGAAAAATGAAGGGAAAAAGATAGTGGAAGGGATCCATAGAAGACAAATATAATCTATTCCCTACTATGAGAAAAGTATACATTAATTATTATTTTTCAAAATTATGTCTCTGGCAATTTATTCTGTTTTTTAAAGTTTGCTTTCTGATTTGCTCTTTTCCCCTGACTTGATGTGCTCTGAGCAAAATAAAAAATATTGGAACATGATTGTAGTAAATTATGCTCAGGGCCAGCCCCAGGGACTGAGCTGAACTCATCCCAGGCTCAAAGCGTGAGTCTCTGTAGTCTGAGTTACAGAGCAGAGCTATGTACCTGTGAGCTGGATCACAGGGAACAGGGCTGGAAAGAGAGATACCCAGCGCCATGACCAACAGCATTAGCTGAGCCTGGGCTGTAGCACATTCTAAAGTTAAAAATGCATGTGAAAAACTTGGAAGACACGGTCGAGTGAATTCTTGTCAATGGCGACTCGAAAGTAACAATGCTGATGAGCATCATCTATTATTTTTCTTCTATCGGGAAAAGGTGTGAAGGAGGAATAGAAGGTATCTATCTGAAAATACTGCCACCCCTAATGTTCTGGTTAGCTTAATGGCATTTACCTTGTTGCAGAAGATTTTAGTATTGTCATTTGGGATGAAGGCTACTTGAAAATCTGCAAAAATATCTAGTGCCAGAAGAGTCTTAAAAATATAAATACAAAGTTTCTTCTCTCTCCAAGGAAGCCTGAGTTGTGTGTTTATAAATATAAAGTTATTTATCAGGCCTGGTAATCCTCATAAGCCCCATCAGTGAAAAGGGTGATTCAATTTCAGAAGATAAGGGGACATTCTGAAAAATGATGATCAAGTCCAGGGAACATTTTTATAAAGGGAGATAAAATCAGTGAAAGTAAAGGGAAGATGAAGTGCAAAAAAGAGAAAACCAGTTAAAGATTTTTTTAGCCCACTGAAAGGACACTTTAGGAATGGACTGTCTGAAGGAAGTGGAGAACTTGCTGTACAATTTGCATGATTTGAAAAGTACCTTTTTTACTTAATTTTGACTGGGAAAATTCTTCTGCATGGTGAGTAAGCCACATTCCAGTGGATGCTCTGTAGATATCTAAAACCAATAGCTAAGGAATATTTTTCTCCAAATGGCAGTATGAGGGAAGTGAGAATAAAGTTGCTTTTGATAAAGTTTTCAATTAAGTTTGTGGCAGTCGCTGTGAGACAGTGATTGTTTTATGAATGATGGAGAACAATGGTGAAATGAAAACAGCAAATTATTAAATGGAGAAAAATCTGTAAGATTTAAGTGTAAATTGTATCAAGAAACCTAAAGAAGAGGATGTAATCCTTGTATCAAAATGAAATTAACCCAATCTCAGTCAAATAATATGAGTAGTATGCAGTCTGAAAACAAGCTGCACATCGTAGAATAATTCTGAATGTAGGACGTGTCAGAGAAAATTATGATGGCCTATGACCAACTCTACAAATAATCAGTGTTAATTTAAAATTGTATTTTAGTTGAGTATTCACTCAACTGCCCTGCCTGGTAAAAGATACAATCTTTTCAAAGAGCTTTATTAACTCACCTTTCCTACAAGATCTGGTTGTTTGCCATGGCAAATTTGACACCTAGTATTAGTGAAATTACATTATTTTTAATTTTTTATGGGCAGAGATTTAAGGCTGATTCATGTAAAAAATATATTACTTCTTGCTGTCTAATTAGGATGCTGGTTGGGTCTGGCATATCTTGATGTGTATTTTGTTTAGCAGGTAGGTGTGAGTCTTCCCTGACACCTCCAAGCTAGCAAGACACCAGCTACCTCCAGATCAGAGGCTGTGTGACCACTTCTGTAAAGCACTATGCTGAGAGCTGTTGTCTCTGCAGAAAGGCAGGATATGTTAGTTCAGAGTTAATGCCATGCTACACACATCCATATCACTCCTGGCCGAATGAGAGCATAAGGGTGAACTTGAATATCCCTGCAGAGAGGCTGCAGCCATACCTTTTGTCCCCTTCCTAGTGGGACTGCTGCTCACATCACAAAATGTCCACCAAAGATAGCACTTTAGCAGAGTCTTTATCAGTACTCTGAGAATTGAATAGGCTATTTGGAAAAAGTAATTATAATGTCCCACCACTTCATTTGATCAGTGCATTTTGAAAGGGGAAAAAAACCTGCACACAGCAAAACACCTCTTATGTGATTTCCTTTCTTTCTTTGAGAAATAAAAGGAAGCTGGTTTTCTATCTTTTGTTCTTTGGTGATGGTACACTTAAGCATCCAGTACTTTTATCCTTCCTGTTGAATGCATATGGGGGTTTGCTATGGGATGTGGTGCAATATTTTTGATTGCAGGCTTCTACAGAGCATATCCTTTATAATCCAGGTAGTTTGATGTTATTTTACACAGTCTGGTTGATATGAGGATGTAGATTAACATGTGGGTCAGAAGCCCTAACCAGACTTGGCAGGGAGGAAGGGATATTGGTTCGCCAGAGTGATTACCCATAGGAAGTGGTGATGCTGACGCTAGTGCTGCTATAAATGTTTATCTTTACTCTGAAGGCTTTAGTCTTTTATGGTTTGAATGCTGGCTGTGAAGAAAGCTGTCTCGTTTCTCTATGCTCCATCCAGCAGTAGTGCTCTTCAAAATATTCAGAACATTTTTATATCTGAAAACTGAAGGAAAATATATTCTTACTTCTGAGCCTTTTGCTGAAAGTCATTTAATTGGCGATACGGGTCTTGAATTTGAATGAATATTTGGAGCATGTTTGCTTGAGTAAATAGAGGGTATTTTGTTGTGGAGTAGAGATTTAGTTGCTGTTGTTTGGGATTTTTTGTCTCCTCCACTCAGAATTGGCTAGAAAGTCATTTTCTAGACTATAAAATAATATCCAAATATTTTATGATTTTTTTCTCTCTTACATAATTTAAACTGAAGATTCCTTATTTAAGAAAACATAAAATGAATTTCAGAGCTTGTATTATGTAAGCCAGTTAGTTACATCAAGCAGAAAAACTGAACACTGCCTTTGGGAGAGAGGGGCGGGGGGAGAACAAATGCTGGAAAGCAGAGTCTAGGGAATGGAGGACAATTTGGGGACCAGGTTCTTCACAAACCACGCCACAGGGAGGCTGGCAAAAGGCATTGGGTACACATGGAGCACCAGTCAACCTCAAAGGTTCTTCAGGATCGATTTTGGATGCTTATGTACGTATGTTCAGTCTGGGAATAATACTTAATGTTTTCATATGATTTTGTCTTCCAGAATGATTGAAGATTGTGGGAAAAGAGGAAATACCATGGCAGAAAGAAGGCAGCTGTTTGCAGAAATGCGTAAGTACTTCCTAGAAATGTTTTGCTGTGATAGACCAAGCCAGTTGCTATGCAGTGTCAGTAAAGTTTATGCAGGCTTTCCACCTCAAATCTCCATTGCACAAATGATTTAATATTGTGAGACCAAAACTGCATGAAAATGGGCTAATTTGGCCAAACAGGAAAAAGGGATTTTCTACATCAGATTTTCTTGATGGTATTATTTTAGTCAGTAGCTTCTTGAGACGAAGATGCTGCAATACACAGGTAGCAATGAAGAGGGATAAAGGTCTCCAAAAGACTACATCTTTTATTTGGGGTATCTGTAGTGGGTTGATCCTTGCCAGCTGCTTAGGACCCACATGAACAGTTGCTCAATCCCCAGCCATCCCCCAGTGGGATGGGAAAGAATATAGGGAGAGCAAAAGCAATCAAACTCGTGGCTTGGGATAAAGATAGTTGAATGACAGGGAAGGAAAAAAATTACAAAAAACCTCAAGAACAAGCGATGCAAAGGTGGTCATTCACCACCTCCCAAAAGCACACTGATCCCCAGCTAGTCATCGAGCAGTGTCTGCCTTGGAAGACAAAACTCCCCACCCCATCTTTCCCTACCCCAGTTTTATGGTTGAGCATGACGTTATATGACTGTACTTTTGACCAGGTGAGGCCATCTGTCCTTGCTATGTCCCCTCCAACTTCTTGCCCATCCCCAGACAACTCTAGGAGGGGACAAAATAGGAGAAAAAAAGGCGTGGGTGCTGTGCAAGCACTATTCAGCAGTAGCTAAAACAGCAGTGTGTTATGAACTCTTTTTTAGCCACAAATCTAAAACACAGCACCATGCAGACTGCTATAAAGAAAGTTAACTGCATCCCAGCCAGACACACAGTACAGGGACTCAAGGATTTCATACCCCACTTCAGCATATTATTTATAGTTTCTAGTGAAGCTCCGTGCTCCCTTTAGAATAGTGTGTGAGAGATGTACCAACAATACTCCTGCACTTCTCCTGACAGCCATCTCTTATTTCTCTTATAACCAATGCACCATTTCTCAAGGAAATTCTATTACACATGAAGTTTGAGACTGTCACTCTGTTTCTAGATCTAATGGAGTTTTGTCTGTAATTACTAAGCTTCCTATTGTTTATCCCCTGCAATGTAGAAACAGTGACATGACATCTCCCTCATCTTTGGTGGGAGACTGCAGATGAGCATTGCTGGGACTTGAGTTACTGTGCATACAGAAAGGCCAGGTCTGTGCTGGTGAATTGGATGTGCTCAGGACTGTTCTCCAGGAGTGAGCCCTACACCTGAGCTCCTGAGCTCTCCAAATGAAAGACTTCTCATTCAGATGGCCTACTGAGAGAACTGTCTTGTCCCATTCCACTGTGTCCACTAGCTCTGTTGTGCCCTTTAATTATTTTAGTATCCTACAGGGCTTACTGTTGTAACTCAAATGAGTATTTCTCACTGATCTCTCTGGTGATTAGTGACAGGACCTGAGGGAATGGAATTAAGCTGTGTCAGGGGAGGTCTAGCTTGGATATTAGCAAAAGTTTCTTTACCCAGAGCATGGTTGGGCATTGGAACAAGCTCCCTAGGAAAGTGGTCACAGCACCAAGCCTGACAGAGTTCAAGAAGCATTTGGACAATACTCTCAAGCATATGGTGTGATTTTTTTGATTTTTGCAGGGCCAGGTGTTGGACTCAATGATTCTCGTGTATCCCTTCCAACTCAGAATATTCTATGATTCACTTGTCTCTTGTGTACAACTTCTTGGACCAGTGGAGGAAAGGGATGTTCTTTGGCCAGAATAAAAAATGGATTTGTCCATTATGAGAACAAACGATAATTTTAATTAGAATTATAGAGGGGACCTGAGCTTTTATCAGCTAAAGTCAATGGCACAACTACCATTAACTTCAATTACTTTGAAATATTCCTAAAATGCTTAAGACACTGCTGTAAGGATTTATGGTTTGTTCCCACAGTTTTGAAGGCTGTTTTAATGTTGGGTTGTTTTGGAGGAGTTAAGGAGGTGTTGCAAAAATCAGCGGTGGGAGGCAGAGGAAGGACTGTTTTCCCGTACTGTACATGAGTAGTTATAGTCTACTATTTTTTCTTACACGTTTTAGTATTTTGACATATTTACTTGAGTCTGGGTTATCTCACGTGTGCTTCCCTTTTCTGTTTGCCTGCCTCCGTTCCTCCACTGTTCCAACTAGGTTAAAAGAGGGGAAAATATTAAGTCTTTGTGAAAAACTAAATGTATTTTAGGCAAAGAAATAAATGTCCATATTCATGAAACTCTGAACTTTGCATTTTGAGAGTCCCTTGAATTTCTCTGTATGTAAAGGTTGTGCTTCACTGAAAGAGAAGTTCACCCTGAGGTTGCATTCAGGTGCCCTCATCTGTGTGCAAGCCCACACTTTAACAAGTTTAACAAAAATCATGTGCTCCAAACGTCCTACGTACTGCGGGCCATGTGAAGTTTCTTAACGTTATGACAGACATAAGCATATGGTAAAAAGTTAAAACTCACAAGCTGCCAATATCAGAGGAAGAAAATTCATAATATAAAGATCTTTTCCAGTGTTTTAGGTTCTTGCAGTTGCATCTGCAAGCCTGTGATTAAAACCCTGCTATGCTTTTAGAAAGTGGGTCATGTTCCAGACTACACAAGACAGGGGGGGAAAATTTTAAGAAGAAAAAAAAAAATCCAACTTTTCCTGCCTTTTTAAGTGAGAAATTTGTCCTTAACAAGGAACAGAAGGATTTGACTCTGACTTTCTGACTTTAAATTCGGGCCACTGTGATTTTCCCTGTATTTTGAGAGATTCAGTTCAACTTTTTTGTTTACTTTCATTCAGAAGAGGCACATTTCTAGTTCCAAAGTACAAACCTTTGTGAATTAGTATCGTAATCATCATCTTCTTCTGTAGAGTTGAATTGTGTCTTACAACTCAAAATGCCCTATTGGGACGTTAAATCACTAGGTCTTAGTCTTACCTTAGTCTTACCTGACATGCTCTGGTATATCCAGACTGATGAAGAGTTCAGGATGTACATCACTGTTGTGCTGCCGTCACATGTTATCCAGCAAGAAAACAACAGCCAAAGCTTGCAGTGTTTCCCTTTGTTATTTTTGCAAACTGCAAATAGTGTTACATGACATGATCATATTCAAAGAATACAGAGTGAAGCACTGCCTGCAGGCAGAAGGAAGGAAAAGCCACTGACAATACTGAAGGGAAGTGACAAATCCAGTGTCTTGTTTGCCATGCTCAGTCCCACATATCTTTCCACTTGTTTTTCAGGACTCTCCATGTAAGTGATGTCACTTTTCTACAGAAGTTATTTAACAAATAGATCTCTGACTGTGGCAAAATGTGAATCATGATAAAATTAAATTGCTAGTTCCAGGGATTTATCAGCAACACTAATCCGCAAATAGTATCAAAATGATACCATCCACCGTGTGTGCAAATATTAAAAAAAAAAGCTACATTATTGTCTACAAATTAATTTATTTAGTATTAATATTGCAACTCAAAAACTCAATGAGCTAGAGTCTCCTTTGCTTTGACTCTTTAAATCTTTTTAAAAGGTTGAAGGAGCCTTTTATAAAGGAGCTTTGGAAACTTTCTAGTAACTTTCACTAAAGTTAAGAGGGAAAAAGTTATATGCATTTTACTCATCTGTCCTATTAAAAAGGAAAGTCTTACTGTTGTAAGCACTATCTTCCCCTTTACCAGTAAAGAAATTTTCCAAAAGCTGTCAGTGAGATATTAATGGAGAAGAGAAAACCTTGTATAATTTTAACAATAAAGCACAAAAATAGTTCCCTGACCTGATGGTAAGTAGTTAAGGGTAATTTCTCCCAGGAGCAGTTGTTGTAAGACAGCTAACTGGCAAAAGGGAGCAGCTGGGAGCCCTGGGAAGATGGTGTGGGAGAATCTGGTCAGGAAAACAGTAGAATCTGGGTAGAGGGGAGAGTATCATTCTCATTTTCATCTTGTAGGTCAGAGCACATTTGAAAAATTTGAGTCCAAAGGATGACAGGTTGTTTAAGAAGGTGTGGGTGAAAAAGGCAGAATGGAAGCTTTGGACAAGGCTTATCAGGGAAGCCCTTCCCCTGAGTCACAAGGTGCAGAAAGGAACCCCTCACTTTCTAATCTCCTTCTCGGAGAGGCATCTGGATACAGCTGGATCCAATCCTAGTCCCAGATTTAGGCAGTGGTTTATGTCTAAAGGATTATATAGGTGTAATTGAACCTTTATATGACTTTGTCCTGCAGGATTAAGGATGGCAAAACAAATAAATTTATGTGAATAAAATAAATACTTATTTAAATTTATTACAATGATAATAATTAGACTAAAATACTTTAATCAAAATTATTTACCATACAATATAGATAGTTATAACTATTAATGTAGGGTACTGTTAAATAAATAATTTCAAAGCTAGCTTAATAGTTAGTAAGTAGAGATTGTTACTCACCCATACCAACAACCGTGGGCAAATCTCTTTCACTTGGCCTCGAGGAGTAACTTTGAGGCATCCGTCCTCAAGGGAGGAATCTACACACACACCTCCAGAAGGAATATGTTAGAAGTCCCTGCCATTAAAAAGTAAGACTGAGCTTTTGTAGTACAAAGTGATTGACGGTCAATCAAATGTTTCTAGGCTACCTGTGCCGGCTCAGCAGCCTTTAGCTCAGCAATTTAAGATAAGTTATCAGTTCTATGACTTGTTGCTTCCTTTATTGGGAACTTTTTTTGCCACATCCTCACCAGTGTCAGTTTCTGTCAGGAGACCCTGTTTTTCACATCCTCAGAATGTTTAATTTTGGGATTGTGGAGTCAGCCTGGTCTCAGCATTCTTCAACAACCAAAAGCAGCGTGATCCTCCTTCTCCATCCATCACTGATAACTTTTGCAAATAGGAGAAAGTTCAAGCTGCTTTACCCCCACTTAGGCAGAGCATCCTGCTACAGATGCCGACATGGCCACATGTACAGCAGTACAGCTGAGTCGAATCATGTCAAGAAGAATCTTAAAGAGAGCATTTAGGAGGCTTGTGTAAAAGCTAGAGCATATTTCACTCCACTTCTTTTACATCATGACTGTACCTTGTTTGGATATGTTTGACGGACACTGTGCCACATTCTGCCCCCATCCAGGTCACTCTGTGTGGTGGTTGTATGAGAGGTAGCTACCAACTAGTTTGTACCCATCTCCAGGACAGATGCTTTTGCAAATTTTACCAGATCTTGAAGTTGCAGCAGGCAAGGCCAAACTGTCTGAAGCAGAGAGCTTGAGTTCTCCCTTGCAGAGAATAAACCTCTGGAAAATGGAGAAAGTCCTTGCACCCTTTGCATTATTTTTGCCCCCTTCTGCAGATAGCCATAAGCCTTTATGTTATGGCATGGTATTTTTTCTGATTTGGTTTGCTGGCAATACCTTGTTCTGATCTGGCATGTCAGCTAAAGATACTTGTTTTGAGCTTTTTTGTTAAATATTAAAATTAGAATGAGTTTTTGCCTGTTGGAGCTGTTGGAGCCTGGCCAGCGTGTCTTTTAGCCTGCAGCTTGGCCAGATTGTTCTTCAAAGTGACAGACACAGTGGGCTGACTATTCCTTGCCTTCCTTTATAAAAGTCTTTTAACACTGTAGCTCTTGACATTCCCCTTCTCATTCCTCACTCCTCTCTACTCTCTCTGTGAAGGAGAGAGCCTTGAAAATTGTTAAAGAGAGTCAGCTCATGTGTCCTCTTTGTTCTCTGGCTTCCCTGCTAGCAAAGATACGCACAGGTCATATTCCATACAAATGTCACCGTTATTCTCTTCCACTAGGGGCTCAGGATCTGGATCGCATTCGTTTGTCCACCTACCGAACAGCATGCAAGCTTAGATTTGTTCAGAAGAAATGCAACTGTAAGTATGTCAGCACTTCTTTGACCTACCGTTGTTGTAACTTCCCTAGTCTGATCACTGACCCCGTTGCATCTCCCTGGGCAGTCCTTGGCCTTCACTCAGTCCAGGATGCAGGACATAGCTGTCCTTCTTGTTTGGATATTCTTGGCTGCATGCAACAAATATCAGAGTGTTAGATTTTAAATACTAAGCTCTTTATATAAGGAACTTGGCCTTAAACATGCCAGTGATTCAGTCATAGAATGGTGGGTCAGGATGCAGGACATAGCTTTAATTAATAAGTATGTTAACTACATTCTCCAATTTTCTTGTAAAATTGGATATTCTTGCAAGATCCTGCAAATTAAATGCTTTTATAGAAGCTCCACGAGAAGAAGTGGTCGTTCCAGTCCTGGTGTATTTGGGGTGCAGCAAAGTAAGTGCTGTGTCAGTCACAAGGCCAGCTAGATGCTGCTTTTCTGAGAGGGTGAACCTGCTTGTAATCTCTGTGTGTCTGCCCTCCTCCTTCTAGGTTTTATTGTTGAGAAATTTCCCACTTGATTAGTGACTTTTTTAACTTTTCTTCTGAGATTCAGTCTTTCTTCCTTTACAGCTGTAGTTTCTATTAGCACAGTCATGTATTGTAGACTTTAAAGAGGAAATACATATAAAATCTGTAATGGAGTGTATCCTTTCTTCTCCATCCAAATACTTAGAAGGGCAGGTTTGGATTTATGTGTTTTACCAGACCTTTCCACACCAAGTTAAAAAAGAAAAAATCCTAATCAGAGGAACTCTTGTCGGTAGTAGCAGCAGAGAGGGGACTAACACAGAGAAAACAAGTGGGTTTTAGTCTTCATAGCTGGACTAGAATGGCAACCTGGCTATGCTTGTGCTACAACTCAGTGGTAAGTATGTTAAGAAATGCTCACTGCTGATAGAGATTAACCCCCCTGGAGAGAATTCCTGGTTTTGGGGTTACATGTGTCTGCATTACAGAAATGTTTAGCTTATGCTGTCCAAACATACTGGAAAGGCCAAGTTGTGATGGAAAAGATTTTGGATAGTATTTAGCCACAGAGCTGATTGGTCGATCACTTCTGCAGCATTCTCATATTTTTCATAGGTGTTTAGCTGAAGTATTAATTGAAGGATTAGTATCACATTATAAGCAAGCTGCCAGACGCAAAACCCAGGGGGGCTTTAGTACCTGCCCAGCAGCTGGCTTCTCCCATTCGGGAGCAAATGTGTTGAAAGACACTATTATGTTGCATTCAGTTGTTTATTTTTTTAATTTTATGTTTAGGAGGATGACATTTTCACTTCATTTTCATGGTAACAGAATACAGTAGTCTGAGGTGACAAAAGTATCTAATTAAGTTGACAGTGATAGCAAAGTCTGTATGCAACTGTATGCAAAGCAAATGAAAAAACCTAGGGGCTAATAATGGTCTCGTTGGGAGTGGCTGGCTGGCTAAAAATACTGGTTGTCAATCTTAACTTTGTGCCTCTTATTTATCAACTGTGATCTGCTTTTGTGGAACTGTTGGTTCTCTTCATAAAGAGTCAGTACAGATGCTCTTCGGTTCGCCAGCTTGTGCCAAGTCACTTGTGGACAGCGCTTGCCTTCTGGTCGCCATTGATAGCCTAGGAGAAGTTATTTGCTGGTCTTGTTTCCAGACTTATACTGTATCAGTCTCTTCTGACGAAAAAAAAAAAGGACAAACTTATAATCCTAATAATTAGATTCTGTGCAATTTAAGAAATAATGCCTGTTACTCTGGAAGGGCTGAATTGCATCTTTTCACCATCACGTGAAGTTTTCTCCTGATTGTTTTGGGTAGACTGCTACTCTCCTGGATGGCTTTCTCTTATCCATGGGAATTCATTCACCTGACAAGTATTCAAGCAACGGCTGTCCAAGAAAGAGCTTTTAAACATAGAGCCATTGAACTGAGCACTGCCCTCGAAATGGTTAATATTAGACCTCTGACTCATGTCAACTACTGTTGTGGGGGTTTTTCCCTTACAGAAATTATGCATTATGCACCACCCAATAGCAAGTTCATGAGAAAAAAAAAAGGGGGGGACATGGAAAAAATAACCTTTCTGCTGCATCTGAGCTGCTTCATTTAGGGTAGAATATAATAAGAAAAAGCTCAAAGACAGTTCTGCTCCACTCTTCTTTGAGCTGTGCTCTCCTGCCCTGCCCTGGCACACTGGCCCAGACTTACTAGGGAAAAATTGCTTGGAAAGAGTGTATTTGAGGGGTTCTTTTAAAGAGCTAACTTAACAAACTGCAGAAAGCTGCTCTTGTCTAAAGGCTGAAGGTGTACGAGGATGGAAGCAGAGAGCTGCTTTGAGGGCCAGAAGTATTTGTTCCAAGGAAAGCAGAGCAGAGGTTTTATTAGCACCGTCTTTTTTACCCAAAGGTGTCCATTAGCATGGACAGTCATGGGATTTCACTTAAGAGGCAGCTACACTTATCACACACAGTGCACTGTTTGTTTCTGCCGTCTTTAGTGCAGACACAGACACAGGTTCAACTCCTGGCCTCCCTTTGTGAATTATTCTCTCAGTACAAAAGTTCTTTTTGCTGAAACCTTCAGCAGCAGGCTGGGTTTTACTGGTGAAATAGGCAGCGTGCAATAGGTAAAAGTGCTTTCATATTCTAAGAATGTTTCTCCTGAAGCTAGTTAAACTATCTGCATAAAGATTATAGAGAATGTGCTAGTTTACCACCATTTACCAAAATACCACTACAAATGTTGCACTTTGAGTACTAACACTGTTTATCAAATTAATTGCTCTGGAATTATTTAATTTTCATAAGAGGAAGACTGCTTTGTAGATATTTAGCCAACAGTCTTCAAAATTGCAAATACATGTCTTTCTGATAATTATATAAAACTTTAGGGAAAGTACTCTGTGAAAAGTATTTCTTTTATAAAAATCTCTCTGAGCATTTTAAAGCAAACAGTTTAAATGCAATCATCAAAGTGTGAAAAATCATTATCACTCATTGCAATTATTTGTCAAACAGGATATAATTTAATCCAGTCAACCTCATTCTTCAGAAAAGCAAGAAATTCTTAAGAACTCAGAAAATAAATAAATTTGAAAAAGCTCTGATGTTATCTTTCAAAGAATAATTCCTGCAAATTAAAGCATTCCTCTTTGCCTAAATTAACTCTACAAATAAATAACAGTAACATTTACAAATTATTGTTAGCACACCTCTGAATCTGCTAAGTGCCCAAATGTGGAATGCAATATGTGACAAAAATCCTCAAAGCAGGAGACTCACAAAATTCTGAATGCAGAAATCTTAGACACTGGGAAACTTTGTTAATGCACCATGAATATAAACTAATTTTATGCTTCTTATTTCTGCTGACAATTTCTAAAATTGGAAATAATGAAAAGAGGAACTCTGCAGGTGATGTAGGTACCTTTGAGGATGTGGTGGGTATAGAAAGAGATAATTGCAGCCTATTTGTTTATTACTTTGCAGAACTCCTGTAGCAAGAGACCTGTTGCAATAGTAATAGTCTTCTCTTAGTTATAATATAATAACATGAGATGTAGATACCTCTTGTGTAAAAAAAAAAGGAAAAAAACCCAAAGAAGTACTAAAGAAGTCTTGAGAAGATCTTGAGATTTGGGCATGAATAGTTCCAAATGAATGGCAAGAGTGGTGGACAGGTGGACCCTGGAGAAAACACTGCTGGTGGTTATGTCATCTTGAGATCCCAGATTGTAAAGCTGGGAGTGTGTGAGCTGACTGGCTGTTTTACTGGATGATGGTGTTGGATATAATCTTGGAAACAGTAGCACCCTAATAATTTGAGGTTAAATTTCATTATTTGGGGTAATAAAAGCAGATAGGAAGCAGATACAGAGACCTGATCAAACATGCTACATGTTTATTCTGGTCTGTACAGTACAAATTGTGCAAAATGGGAATAACTGACTTCATCATCTAAATTTTCTAAATGTGCTTTAAAGGCAGTCCTAAATAGCACACACTTCAAGAATCAAGGAGGGTGAGCTACAGGTGAGCACTGTGAGGTCTGAAACAGTCACAGAACTTGAAAACCTATGAACCAATATAGCTCTGACCAAGTCAAACATTAGGGTATTGTCCTTCACTTTACCTCCAGTGCATCAGAACGGGTTTTGGAGCACCCAGTGTAGATTCTCACCATACATACTGCCACTCAGCTCCCCTTTCCACCAGGAAAATGCCATCTTGACAAGGTTGATTTGCAGCTATTTGTCCATGATATCCAGACAGAGAAGTACCATAGACTTTCCTAAAACAAGGCACAAAGGACCAGTGACAGCAGTTGGACATCTCTTGACATTCACCAGTATTCAGGAACCACCAAAACCAACAATTTATAGTTTTCCCCAGTGATCATTGTGCAGTTGATTTATTTTAATATTTGGGTTTCGGTGAATTTATTAACAAGCTGAGATGAAATACCATGTTCATATGCAAATTCCCTCTGGGCTATGGTGACAGCAGGAGTAGGACATAACACTGTATCATAATCAAAACCATTATACCATTAAACATCATTCACTAATATAGAACTGTATGGCTGGAAAACTACTGCTGTCCTTGATGAACTATCCCGAATGTGTTGTGAGATTATTCTGTGACTCTGGCTGCAAAAGCAAATTTTATTGTTTTCCTTAAATCAGAATAAATCATTGGCAGTTGAAAATGTGAATCAAAAGCTGTGCTAGTGATAGTAATATGTACCTTAATTAATACAAACAAAAAGGGAGCTTGTTTCCCTGCCAGTTTAATCTCAACACCTTGGAGTTTTGGTGTCTTTGTTTCTCCTTTTAATATTGCTTAGTGTGAGTGATTTTAAAATTTTTTTTTAAATTCTTTCAGCCTATCCAAGTTGTAGTACAGCTACATAGAGAGCGCAACTGCCATGACTATGATGGAAACCTTGTGTATGTCCAATCCAGTGTCCTCTACCTCCATCTGCTCTTCATCCTGC